GCTGGTAGATCGACCATAGACCACCTTTTTTGTATCACCCAACTTATAGAAAAAAAGGTTGCTGTAGATCAAGAAGTCCACTTTTTGTTTGTTGATCTAAAAAAGACCTACGATAGCATCCCTCAAAATAAGTTATGGAACACTCTCAGACAAACGAACATTAACTCAAATCTCATAACAGCAGTGGAAAAACTATATGAGAACGCCAACGCCAAAGTTAAAATAGGAACGAATGTTTCCAAAGGTTTTGTAGTAGACAAAGGACTGAAGCAGGGATGCTGCTTAGCGCCGACACTTTTCAAAATATATCTGGAACAAGCATTAAAACTCTGGAAGCGGAAATGCAGCGGCATGGGTATAAAATTAAACAATAACAACCTGTACACTCTTTGTTTTGCTGATGATCAAATTGTGATTGCTAACGAATATGACGACCTAGAATACATGACTCGAAAATTAATCGAAGAATACAAAAAATGGGGATTAGAAGTCAACATAGATAAAACAATGTACATGAACATCGGTGGTAATAGTTAACACCAACATTTCAAATTATATGCACTTTATGCTCACTTTGACAAACATTTGACATTTTTGCATTTTTTATGCATTATATGCAAAATATGCAACTTGCATATTTGCATAAGTCTAGTTATTGTCTTCTCGACTCCAATTTTGAGCCGGGTAGATTTTGAGTTTTAAATAATCGGTTTAATCTGTGTTAATTGCAGAATTGTGAAGGAGTGCATTTGTTTAGGTATGTTATGTGATGTTTTCTGGGACCGTAGTGGGGGATGGGGTGGGTGTTTTTTGGTTGGATCTGTTTGTGATTTTAAGGTATTTGGCTTTGGGAAGAACTTTGAGTTTTTTCTTCAGAGATTTGGCATTGATGGGGTTTGTTAAAAAAAATAGGCTATTTTTCCGATTTGTTCACGTAGACTGCAAGAAAATCGTTTTCGTCATTTAACATGACTGGAATAATTAGAATTACCGGGATGAGCGTGAGTATACCGACTTAAGTTGAGATGAGGGTTGTATTGCTAAAGTTGTTTATGTATTTGTGTCATGTGTTCGATGTCGTATTTTGAACGGCTAAAAATGTTTAAGGTGTGTGTGTGTAAAATTTGTAGTTGTGATAATACTCTGTGATTGTCCGGAAGCTATGAATGATGAGTTTTGGTGTATATTTTGATACGTGGGGTGTCTTTGTGGTGTGTTAGTAATTTGTGTGTTGTATGTCGCATCAGTTTTTTTAATGTTAGGTGATGTGTAAGTATTTTGAATGTCAGAATTGAATGTGTCCAGCATGAGAACCTGTTGGTGGAGCATAGAGGTTGTTTTAAGGGTTGTAGTTGGTTGTCATGGAAACGACGGTACCTCGACTTGTGAAGCATATTTTATCTGAACAAAGTTTTTAGTTGGAAGAGTATTTTTTTGTTCTTACTGTCCACTCGTACGGAATGCTTGTTTTCTTTTTTGTGTTATATATAGATTTTGTATGTTGCCTAGTCCTTCTGTTTTCGTTGTAATACTAAACCTCCTTTATAACTTCTTTTTGACAGGATATCATTTTAATTTTTGTCACGTCGTTTCATTGATTCTTGACTGCTTTTTAACTTCATATATTATAAGATACTTTTTCTCTGATCATTAATACCGAATAATGACTCTATCGAACTCTACTAAACATATGCTGTATTTTTCTGTATCCTTCATATTCATCACCCTCTTGCCATTCCTCTCCTGATGTCATAAACTTTTCTCTGGTCAATAATATCGCAGAACCTGTCGGACACTTTTCTACCGGGAAGTAATCTTTGCTTTTGATACCATTTGGTAACTTGGTACACTTTGGTACACTTTGGTACGCTTGGTTTTAAGGATAATTAAAAATTTCTTCTCTTCTCAATTTATATGACAACTAAGGCAATGATTGCATTAATGACTTTTCGATACGACCATGATTACTTGTTTTGTATTGTCTCTCGTTTACTGTCGTTCTATTTAACTTCTGCTATTGGATATTTGTGATAGAGCATTGAATTCCTCCTGAATTATAAGAGTGCCTACTATTTTTCTTCTTATTATTTTTATATGGGCATAACTGTCCTTTTTTTAATGTGCCTCCAGTAAGTTGTCTTTCCATTTTTCCTACTGATCGTCTTTCCATTGGGAAATCGTCTGTTGTCATCTTTACGACTTTATTTGTTGTCATTAGGCTTATGTTATCGTTCTATTTTACTATTTTATTTCTTACCCAGTTCTTGATGTTCTCCACCTTGTATCTATGTTATATATCTGTATTTCTAGCTCTGTCCCATAGTGTATTATCATCAATTTTTTTGTGTTTTCATCTCCGCTATCTCCAACATCCTTTTTGTCCTGTCTGTGTGAGGTCGTGTTTCTGCCGAGTATGTCATTTTTGGTCTGATAACTGTTTTGTAAATTCGGCCTTTCATTTCTTTCCCGATATTTTTATTTCTCCATACGGTTTTAATCAGGCAACATACGACTCTGTTTGCTCTATTCATTTGATTTTCCACTTCAGTTTCGAGCTTTCCGTAGTTGGATAATGTGCTGCCTAGATATTTAATTTCTATCACTTTTAATCTTATCTGACCTTTCAGCTTCAATTTACAACTTAGTAAATTTGCGGTTATAACCATGCATTTTGTCATTTGTAGGAAAATTAACATGTTAAATTTTCTGGCAATTATATTAAATTATTGGAGCATTCATTGTAAATCATCTTCACTTTGAGAGAGTAGTATTCCGTCGTCTGCATAGCAGATTATTTCAAGTTGTTTGTCTCCGTTTTGGACACATTGCTAGAAGAACAGGCACGGTGGAAAAACTGATAGTCGAGGGTAGGGTTTAAGAAAAGAGACCTAGGGGAAGATCTCTAAGCCGTTGGGTAGATCAAACAAAAATATTGATTAACCAAGGGTTACATGAAGCCGAATAACTAGCCCAGGACAGAGAAGGATGGAGGAAAATCGTGAAAAAACTGTGAAGGCCTGATGGTGTTACTACATCCCAAAAGGGATTATAACTGAGGAGGAGGGAGTCATTTGGTATCCTTTTTTAGTTCTTTCTTTTTTTATTATTTCATCCATAGTCAGGTTGAACAACAAAGGATTCAAGGAATTTCCCTGTCTTATCCCATTACCAGCATGAATAAGGTCAGTTAGTTCTTCTTTTACTTTTACTTTTATTGTGTAGTTTTGGTAGATATTTTCGATTGTTATAGTTACTTCTAGAGGTACTCCTGATTTGATTCAGTCAAATGCCTTCTTAATAGATATTAATAGATAAGGTGTAAATAAAGGTGGCGCGATTTTTGCTATTTTTTATTATTCTCATGAGATCAATAGAATGTATCCCTTTCATTGACCGGCCACTATGGAGTTTCTATAACTAGAACCTAATCTTGAAAACTTATAGCATGAAATATCAGTTTTTAATTTTGGCAACAAATAATGTGACGCATTTGAAATATGCTTAAAAAAACGCTGCATTTAAACTTTTACATTACAAACGATCTAAAACATTTAAAACTGCTCATTTGTAATAACACTATTATGTGTTTTAAAAAGTTGGGACCTCTGCTATTCTTGATATATAAATGATTTTTAAGTGCGTTGGAAAATACCAACTATGTTCTTTTTGCAGATGACACAACCTTATTTTATAGAGGTAAAACTAATTACAGTCAGGAAATATTAGAAAAATCTAAATCCTGGTTTAACTTAGTTAAACGAGCAGAAAACCCAGTCAATAGTATTTAGTTCTCATAGATGGGTTAAACCATCTGAACCAGTAAAGTAACTAGGTGTTACTATGAATACAAAGTTAAACTGGTCGCACCATATCGAAGTATTGTATAAGAAGCTCGCCTTACAGATTTTTGGCATACGCAGATTTTCTACTTTTATGAGTTGAGATATTCTTAGGCCAGTTTATTTTGGAATGGTTCATAGTATCCTGACATATTGCATAATTCTTTGAGAAAACTCGTCCTATGCATATAAAATTTTCACTTTTCAAAAAACAGCAATCCGAATTATTGACTCAGCAGAATATCGCGCCAGCTGCAAAGTCTTGCAAAAGTCATATCATTATACCATATTCCAGATTGTGTGTTACACAACTTAATACAATAGATTATAATCTGTATAATTGTTTTCTAAACCAAAACAAAAATATTGATATTTCTAAAAAATCTTATAAATTAGCAAAACGCTGCTGGAATAACGTTTCTATAGTATACAGAAATTTATTTATTTGAGCTCCTAGTGTGGTCGTTTTTATGAAAACTGTTTTACACCTAACTGAATTAATTTTTTATATATTTTTATATTTCTATTTTTCATTGTGTATGTTATATTAAGTGTTCTTGTATTAGTTCTTAATTACTTGCTATGAATACATAAGTGGCTTATTTATATTGTGACCTGACATGTTTGTAGTGTTTACTATGTAAACATTGTCAATTAACGTATCTATATATCTATCATACATCAAATCCAGATTTACGTGCCAAGCACTATTAATTTTCCACTCTTGTTTGCTAGTACCAGTTTTTTTACGTCAATTTCGTCTAATTTTTGAACGTCTTGCACTGTTACATAATATGCATACTTAATGTTTTTTGGGAACCATAATTATCCATAGTGTTTCCCAATCTTTTACTTTAACACTATTTATCTGAATTTTTGTATTCTACCACTTTGTATTCAATCGTCTGCTGTAGATCTCATTCTTTATTTTAATTATCTATCCCCCTACCGCTTTTTTTTAATTCTCGGCCCATATCTATAAATTTATTCAAATTTGATCTCCGATTTTTAGTGAATTACAAAATTACTAAAATATCTTTGATAGTTAATATGTATGGGACATATTTTATAATAAACGAAATATTAATAGTCAGTTCTAGAATTTAATTTAAAATAACTACTAAGTATTTTAAGAATTTAGATTATGTTTTGTATTTTCAGAGTATAACAATGCCCCACCAATGGATGGAAGGAAATCTACCTGTTTCAGCCAAATGTGCTGTTTGTGATAAAAATTGTGGTTCAGTTCTTAGGTAAGTTAACTTTAGTTATTTATAAAAAATAATTGTTAATTTCACTTTGTAAGCGTGGGATTAAATATTAAGCTGAGTTTAATTTCCTTTCATTTTTCTAATCGTAATTACCCTCGAATTTTTTATTGAGCTGTACAAAGATACACCGTATTTTGAGTTCTAATATAGTTAATTTTGTCTGTGTTTAGATTTTTTACAAGTAAGAAACCAGTTATATACTATAAACACAGACTCGTACACTTTTTTCTATTAAAAATGTTTATATGAACATTTTTTAGTTATCTGGCAGTAGAGTAAATAATACTTGATTCCACTTGACGCCAACATTTGATTCATTTTTAGTTTAGTGTAACAATGGCTGTCGACGTTAAGTAATTAGTTCTTTAATCCACAGATACTCAATTGATATATTTTAATACAATATTACTTTTAATAGTTATTGTCTTGGATACTAAACTGATACATACTTCTTTATTTAAATAAATAGTTATTTATTTATGAAATTAACAATTCGAACTTAAATTTATAAGTTAAGATGTCTGTTTATTACATTTTGTCATAAATATAAAAATAAGAACAACGTAAAGTATTTTTTCTTCTAATAGACTAAACATAAAATTAAAATAATACTTATAATTATAATCATACTAATAATACTGCATCATACAACTAATAAAAAAAATTCCTATGCATCTTCAATTCTTACGCAGTTTTCACAGACAAAAATGGCATGATCTATACATAGATAACGGCTGCACTGGTAAAAACGTATTTAGTCCTGCTATCTTTCTTTCATCATCATCATCATTTGGCTCTACAACTCTATGTGAGTCTTGACCGCGTTTACTATTTCCCTTCATTCTTGTCGATCCTGAGCAGCTATTTCACATTGCTGTATTCCCATTTTGCATAAATCACTGGCTACTGCGTCCTTTCATCTGTTGTTTCTTGGGCGACCAACTGACCTTCTGCTATCGGGCTTTCCCAGAATATGACGTTCAGGAGTCTTTCGTTACTCGATCTTGATACGTAGCCTGCTTATCTTATTCGGTTTGCTTTAATGTAGCGTACTATGTTTTCATCTCCATATACCGTCTGGAGTTCATCATTGTGTCTTCTTCTCCATTCTTCTGTGTTCTCTTTTCTGCAAGGCCTATTGATAGTCCGCAGTATCTTTCTTTCCCATTACCAGTAATTTTGTTTTCCGCTGGTTCAGAATCCATGTTTTACTTCCATACGTTATTGTGGAACGAATTATTGTCTTATACTCTCTTATTTTTGCTGGTATTGAGAGTATTTTTGATTTAAGTACGGTCATTAATGAGTAATATGCCCCGTTTCCTGCAATGATCTTGGCTGCCATGTCCTTTTCATATTTATTTTCAGATGTTATGATCGCTCCCAGCTACTTGAATTATTTGATTACTTCAAGGTTGCATTCATTGACTGTTACGTTTTATCTAAGCCTTGGCCTTTGGGTTCTTCCTAACCACCATATATTTGGTCTTGTCCTCGTTGACCTTCAGAGCAACTCCCTTGGCTTAGTTTCCGAATAGGGTGAAAACTTCTTTTGTATCTCTGGTGGATTGTGCAATTGTGTCCACGTCATCGGCAAACGCCAATAGTATTTTTGATCCTTGGGCGGCAAATCCGTTTGTCAGTTGTGGTTGAGCTTTCCTTACTGCATGTTCCAGTGTAAAATTAAATAGCAGGGGGCGAGAGGATCTCCTTGTCTAAGCCCGGTGTCAATGAGGAATTTCTCCGATGTGGTGCTGCCAATTCTGATCCGTGCGGAAGCGTTCTCTGTGCTCATCTATGCTAATCGTACCAGCTTTCCAGTTACTCCCATTTCTACCATGATCTCCCGCAATGCTTCTCTACTAACAGAATCGTAAGCTTGTTTAAAGTCCACGAAGATTTGGTGTACATCGCGGTTGAATTCCCAGTTTTTTTCCAACACCTGGCGTAGGACGAATATTTGGTCTATGGTCGACCTTCCCGGTCTGAATCTGCTTTGGTAATCGCCTATTATTTCCTCTGCGTATGGAGTTAGTCTTCTAAACAGCATTATGAATATAGTTTTGTACGTCGTTGTATTGATTAACGATATTCCTCTATAGTTCCGACATATTTGTTTGTCTCCCTTTTTGTGAATAGGTACTATATGGCTTTAATGCCAGTACTTCGGTATTTCTTCTCTTTCCCAGACTTCTCCTATAAGATGGTATATCTCAAGGTGGAGCTTTTCCTTTTTTTAGTGGTTCCTCCTGTATGCCGTCTGGCCTGGGGCTTTATGGGTTTTTAGAGACGAAATTGCGAACTTTACTTCAGCTAGTATTGGTCCTGGTATTAAAGATCTTTCTTTGTAAAACATATTTCACATCTCTTTATAGATCTGTCAACTTTTTGTGGTAGTTCGCCTGAGGATTTATCCACATGATCTTGGGTGCTTTTATGAAGTTCTGTCGGCAAAGGTAGATTTTCCTTTCCTGTTTCGTAAATGTTCTGAAATTAAATTCTAGTTCCAGCTCTCTAATGAAATCTCGACGTTTCACTGACGAGTTGTTATTCATTTTATAAATTAATAAGAACTCCCTCTGTGGCAGTGGTAAGAGCGCCTACCTTTAAACCTAAAGGTCGTGAGTTCGAATCCCACCTGGGTGGAAATTTTCGTTTATTAAAAAAATTAATAAATGAAAATAATTTCTATCCTTGTGTGATCGGTACACACCGGAGGGACCGCAGACGTTCGGATACAATTAGCGTCTCTTAGCAAAGACAATGACGTCGACTTTGCTAAGTATCAAGACAATTACTCTACACACACACACACACTACACCTCAAATTGTAAGATTGGCGAATGGATTTAGTGTCCGCAGTCATTTAAACACAAACAAACAACAATAAATTAATAAGCTATTTATTCCTGATATATTTAAAGCTGCATAAAAAATTACCACTGGCCATCTTTTTGTGTTACGTGAAACATCATAATTGCTACACAATTGACTACATCACACTACATCTACACCCCCCTTAGTTTGGTTGTTAAACTTAATCATTTTAGGCTTTTGTTACCCCAAACTTATAGAATCTATCTTATTATCATGATGTAATGTGGACATCAACAAGACCACTTTATTTTTCTTTGGTACATGAGATACTAATGAAATACCCTTTTAAATATCAAACTAGCTGCTAGGAGTATCTCTGTTATGGTTTCAAACATTTTTCATTATTTAATTTTTGCGAACAGTCCCTGTGTCTGTCAAACGATGTTCACTCAGCAAATGTGACAACAATGGGTAGTTATCAAATGTTACATTGCGAACTGGAGCGCGAGCCTATTTACAACGTCCATTGCTATATTGCTGAGTGCATATCGTCCTGGTGGCTGTTTTTCCAGGTAAATTAAAAAATTGACAACGTAAAACGACTTCGAGTCAATGAAAGCATAAATTTTTAAACCATATTTGTTGGGTTTGTTTGGCATGCATTGGCGAAAACTACAGCGGCCACGAAATAAAGGGAGTTGTTCGTCAATAGTCATGACTCTGATGGCGAATATGTTGACTGGCAACATGCAACAAAGTTCTCAAAACGGAATGAACGGCGGCCAAATTGTCGATACTTTTTCGTTCCTAACGTGTAGGTTTATCATCGAATCGTAAACAATTCTGGATAAATTAAAATTTCTTTAAAGTCTTTGTGGTTCTAAAAATATCAATTTTAGATCCATCACACCTCGATAAATCTTTAAAATTTAGATGATTGGATTTGCAACACCTAGCTAAATACAATAGACCAATAAACGCATGGACTTATAAATAAATCTTTATTTATACGTCCATGAATAAACGCTTTTGATTCTGATGTGAGGGTGTCAGCCATAATAAATTTCTTTGTGTTACTATTTTGGCATGTCGCCTGATTGATACTTATTTAAAAGTTTTTGTGAATCACTATTTCTTGTAAAATATAATTAGTAATAAATAGGTTTAAACACTCGCAGCAGTTTTGGATTTTTGTTGTTAAGATCTGACGCCTTGCTTTTCTCTTACAATACTCTCCACTTGACACGTACATTAGACCTGTTTGGTACTGTGAACAATTTCGTTTCATTCATCTCCAAAAAATAGCTACCATTACCTCCGCTATTATTTTCTTTATATTCTACAGGCTATTCTCGGTCATCCATCTTCCGCTCTGCCTCACTTTAAAAGCATCTTTCACTAACATTATCAATATTTTGATCTCTACCAGATTCGCTAGAGGCTACCATTGCCTTCGCTATCATTTTCTTTAGATTCTACAGGCTATTCTCCGTCATCCAACTCCTCCTCTTTCTCACTTTCAAAGCGTATTTCTATAACATTATCAATATCTTGATCACTACCAGATTTGCCAAAAGAACTGGCTTAAGCTTCTTTTAAAAGACGTAACAATCTGTGTTGGTACTACAATCTTCGTACGACATTCTAGATTGTTATCCTGAAAATAAAGTAAAACAATGCATAAAGTAATAAAAATAATAGAAACATGTTTGCTCAAATTCGTTACATGTAGCGTAAGGGGATGTTTACGTACCTGCTGACAGCTTAAACCTCTTCTACAGTTAAATACCGTAGAACGGGGTGACTTTGTTAATTTTTTTATATTTTCTTACGTAACTTTTGAATGGGTGATCCCAAAAATGTGGAAAAATGTCCATTGGGATTCATCTTATGTTTATGTAATTTATACTGTTAGTATATACCTATATCTTTAAATTGAGGATTTTCTCAAAAAAAAATAAGTAATGGTATATTAAAATCACCCATTGATGTGGGGTCACTTTGATACCCTATTTTAAAATAGCTTGGACGATGCATAAAAGCTGTAATGGTGTCAATGTCAACCCATTTTTAAATCGATCGAGCCAATTTTTAGATATTTCAATTTTAATTTTTGGGGTGACTTTGACAGCTGCTATAGGCACAATAATTAGTATATAATAAAT